TTTAGGATTGTTTTTCTATTTCTGTAAGAATGTCATTGGTATTTTCATAGGGATTGCACTGGTTCTGTAGATTGCTTTAGGTAGTACTGACAATTTTTAAAAAAGAGCTGTTAAAATGAATTATGCTTAGAAAAAATTATTTGAAATGCATACAGCCCATTCTATATATTACAAATATTCTACATTGAGTCCCATAAATCTAAGCAAGATGTGAGCTATATATAATTTTTACCATTTTATTTAAATATATGTTTATTGACTATCCAATATACCATAAGCCCTGTTATTGGTGATGTGCTTTGATATACTCAATAGATATGATGTTTGTCCTTTTAGAGTTTATAATTGTGAAGGGATAAAAAATTACACAAATAATTATTAGCATGATGAACACTAGTCAAAGGAAAGAGCACGAGTCTCTAGGATAAAGGACAAGATTGGTAAATAGCTTAATTCAGTAACTCAGAGATAGCCTTCTAATACCAAGGCATCACACTATTTTTGTACTTGTAAAGATATAATAAAAGAAATAGCCTGTTTTACACTGCCATAATAGCTTGAGTTCACCCATTCACAGAAAATATGTCATTCTCCTGGCACATCAATGTGTTCAGCAACCAGTAGTTATTTTATTGGAATTTAATTATATTTGACTGAATCATTAGCTACTGGATTGAACTCCATTTCCAGCCCATCTCCTCTTCCCCAGAGATTGGGCTGGCCCAAAGAGGGCCAGCCCAACCCTCTAATTACATGGTTAGTCTTTCTGGTGACAGCCTCAGTCTTCTTCCTACAAGCTCAGGTGTGATCCAAAAGGCTCATGAATAACAAAAACACTCTTATCATGCAGGAAACGACAAGAGTTTAGACAGCAACCAAAGACTAAAATTAGACAAATTGTTTATGATACAATAGAAGCTCACATTCTAGTGATTATAAATTGAAAAACCAAAACAAATAGAGCTTCTAGGCTGTTAACATGTAATTAAGAGCTATGGAGAAAATATGGCAAGAAAGAGCTCTATGGGGTGTGCGTGTGTGTGTGCATGTGCATGTGTGTGTGTGTGTATGTTGGTGTATGTTCACATGTTATGTAAAAATTTCCATTTCAAATTGGATGGATAGGTAGGTAAGGTTTTAATTTTAAAAAATTTCTTACAAAGATTTGGATGAGGAAAAGTTTTTCACATTTATTTTCTTTTTAAATTTTAATTGTAGAGTATTACAGAAATACACATATATGTGAAATACATATGTATTTGTATTTTTATATTATACCTACACACATATATACAAGTGTATATTAAGCCTTTATCTTTATGCATTTAATCTGATTGCTTTATAATCCTCCTAAATTGAGGTACCTAAATTCATTTCTCTTCCTATGCAAATTTATATATACTTTTACTTTCTATTTGTATGTATATTTCTCTAAGGATATGCAGTACAATTAGCAGGTTTAATAATGTATTAAAATATAAAAAAACTGATAACTTATATTTAACATATACTAATTTTAATAGTAATCATGAAACCTTAATGTTCTGAATAGAAATCAGATATTACGTCTTAATTTAAAATAAAAATCTACAGTTTTCAAAATGTAACTTCAATTTGAAGATTCTAAAACTATACATCTTTATAAAAGAAATACTTATTATCCCATTTTACTTAATATATAATTGATTAGATGCATTATAGAATTAATTATTATAGTACTTTTAATGCAAACTTTAAAAGAGAGGTTGAAGTAATAAAAAATGTAGGCAAACAATGCATCTTTTACCAACCATAGCATAACAGCATTTTAGGAAGACAAGAAAAGATTGCACAGGCCTTGCTTAAGTTATATGGAAATAAACACATTTAGATTAAACCAATTTTTTGTGCAAATCTAGTGAGAATGCTTTTTAATGCAATTCATTCTAAGTGACAGAGCAAGACTATCTCAATAAATAAATAAATAAAAATAATAAGTGAAAATACAGCTCAATTATAAATTAGGAGATGATTATTTATACGTCATCTTTTAAGCTCAAATGCAAGTTTATCATAGTGTTCAAGCCTGTATATCCTTGATTCAATCATAGAATTCTATCTTAGCCTGATATTGTATTTTTCTTCTTCCTCCTCTTCCCTCTTCTCCAATTGTTCTCCTTTCCATTCTCCTTGTCTTTCATTTTTCAAAGTCTGAAATTGCCCAAGTGATTTTAATTGCAGGTTAAGTCTCTGATGCCTTAACTAAATACTTCATGATTAATTGTTTCCTCTTTTCTACGGGAGGGAACTCTAGCAAATTGTTAATTAAAGAGGAAAATAATTTCCCTGATACATCATACTTTGGTGTTTATGAGCTAATGTATCAATAAATAATTATGAAGCATAGTAGCAGTAATAATACTGATATAAGTAATAATACAGATATGACAGCAAAAAATCTCAAATTTATGGTACTTGATAGATAAATAACTTTTACTTCCATTCTCTCATTTCAACTCCTTGACAACCAATTAAGGTTTGCAGGGGAAAAGTCTTCATATACCCTTTTACTTAATATAAAAGTGAGTCAGTGTAGTTGTACGACTTAATTAAACTCTCCCATCTAGTAAGTATCAACATCTGATCTTGAATAGGTATCTTGCTGGTTGTTTATTCCATTTTACTGCATGTACTTGATTACTATTGTTAGGCTCACAATTCACTAACCCTCAACTGTTTTCTAGAAAAAATCCTTTTCCTTTTTGTGGTTAACTGATCCTATTACTACTTCAGCTTTTCGATTTCCATTAGAAATTGTACATTTTCACATGGCACCATCCTTATGGCCATTATTAATTTGTCCATAGGTGACATAGTCTATTATTAACAACAAACATGAAGCGTGCAGAGGAACAGGGGAGGGCTTTATATATTCTATTAAAAAAGCAATCTGCAGAATGGGGAGGCACAACCTCCAGTACAAGTGACAGTGTGCTCTCTGAAAAACAAAGGGTCTAGTTTAAAAAAGCGAAGTTCTGGCTTTTGCTCTCAATCATGTCTGATTATGCAAATGCAGGATGCAAACTTGTTCAGTTGTGATTGGTCAAAATAGTAGTGCTTGAATGAATGGTTTCCAACCCCCAAACCAGAAATGTCTATCAGATATTTTTTTCAAACCATTGCAGGGTGGTTTCCAGCTGCAGTTTATCTTGGCACTGACATCAGGAACTGGGTTAACTTGATGGCACAGGGGAGATCCTTGGACACTTTTACATCTTTTCCGGACACAGAGTACAGGATTGTTCCCTCATCCAGCCATGGCTGCTGATTCTGCTTTAACTTTGATCACCTCAGCCATGGGGAGTTTATTTTGTCTGCCAGATGGGGGCATACTTTAACAGCATCAATCCGAACTAATCAATTAAGAGTCCTTCTACAGAAATTATCCTGGGTTTGGGAAATAAAAATAAAAATTAAAAAAAGAGTTCTTCTTCATGACTGTTTGCATCGAATCAAGAAAAGATCACTCCTTTGTAAATGGCTGCTTTGGGAGTTGAGAAGTGGGAATATTATACAGTTACTTTTCTTGTTTTGAAGCCAGGTTACACTGACAGAAACTGATCATGACCACTCATGGAGAAAAAGGGCAAAAGATAGTAGAAAAATTAATCTCTTTGTTCCTGAGTCACAGTTGTCTCCCCATCCTTCTTGCTGTTAGATAATACAACCCTTTCGGGAATTACTTGAAATTCCTCAGTATCCTCTCAATGAATTCACCATTTGAGTGCAAAATTTTCCAGTTAAAGTGTATACCTATGTAACAAACCTGCACATTCTGGACATGTACCTCAGAACTTAAAGTATAATAATAAATAATTTAAAAAGATATCACACGATATATGAGAAAAGTACTATTTCTAATAATGTTAAATTGTTTTAAAAAGTATTAACTCTTTAAATAAAAAGTGCATTGAATAATCTGTTCTATAAAGAGTGAATTATTAGTTTTTAGAGAACTGTTTTATTTCCATTATTGTCCTCTAATTTGCACCTTTTAAAAATATTTTTGGTGACTACTCTTAACAATGTGTGTCCTTTACATATCATAATAGAATTTAATATTATACCTTTTTATACTTTCAATCTGATATTTCACACTTTACAGTATCCTGTTCTTCATTTATCTGCCCAACGTGTTATGGGATTGTAGTCATAATTTTTATTTTGACATACATTATCAATCTAATGGTTTGATGTTGCCACAACCGGTAGTGTTTCTTAATGCTAGCTTCTTAAATCCAACCCACGGAATTGTATGGGATGACCTGCAAATGATTGATTTGAGGTTAGGAGACATTTTGATCTGTAGCCCTTTTGATGTCCAGGCATTTACAAGCAAAAGCTGTTGGAATAACAAGAGTGAGGAGCCACATCTACTTGTCAAATTATCAGCAGAACGATAGTGTCTTATTCTCTTTTCTATCTGAATTTCAAACCTAAGGTGATTTCTCAACATTGATGAGAAAAAGAGTGGAATGTGGTGGTCCTATTGCCAAAGAAGACAAAAGGTGAGACTGTTCTGTCTATAGTTAATAATGAACTGCATATTGGTTACCCTATAATCTTTGTGACATTCAATGTATTTCTTACTTTAGTGAAAAGATTCATGGTTTTTATTTTGATCTTTGATACAATAAAATGAGGAAAATGCTGACCTATAAATTTGGAGGGATTTTTGTTTTAGCGGCCAAGTAAGGATTAAGAAAACAGATCCAATGTTGGATATCTTAAAATGTTTGAGATGTTGAGGACAATGTTCTGCATGAATCTATGCTGACACCTATAGTAAAACATCTTGTTTCTCCATAACTTGATATATTTTAACTTTTATAATTTTTCATGATTTCTATTTAATTCCTCTCTGTCTTGCCTAACGTTTGGTAGAGCTCTTAGTGTCAACAGCCATGTCTTTTGACATTTTAAGTTGGTATGTCAAGAATTTAGTCCTGTTTAGAGGAACAATGATGAATCCCGGAGAGCTTTACTTTTCCTGCAAAATGAAAGTCAACTTACTTAAAGGAAATTCAATGACAAGAAAAGAAAGAAGAAAAAAAGGGAAAAAACGAGAAGAGGCCACAGTAAGAAAGGGAGGAAGTAAGATAAGGAGGGACAGTATTTTGAATACAAGTTATAGTTAGAAAGAAACTAAACCAAAAATAAATTATGTTTAATTTCTAAGTCAAGGCAATAAATTTCAAATTTTTATTATTGACTGGATGGCAAGTTAGCTGTTGGTGGGCTATGTTACAGAAATATTTGGTTATTATTTATAATATCTATATGCATCTTCAGAATAAAATTGTTTTATACTTATATTAATTTGGGGGCAAATTTATTTCTTGTTTGTAAGATCTTTCAATGGAATATAAATGAGTAATTTTATAATTATCAAGAGAATGTAAAAAGTGTACAAATCATTCAGATTTATTATTAAGATCACATTAGAACAATAATCTACCACACGTTTTACCCATCAGAAAGATTGGCAGATTATAGAGACAGACACATTTTCAGCTGAGATCATGTTTCCAAAAATGTACATTTTATGAAAAAAGCCCAGCAATACATTTTTCAAGAGTTAAAACTATACAATTGGTGAATAGGTATTAATTGGGATTTTCGCAATATATAAATATAGAATATTAAAACCTGTAAATACATTTTATACTTTAATTGTTCTCTTGATTTAATAACGTTTTATAGAAGTAATTGGAACCATCAGTCAAGTGGTTAAGCTTTAGATAAATTATTGGTTGATATTTTAATAGAAAGAGTATGTGTATTGAAATGAAGCTAAATTTAAGTAGAAAATTATTGGTTATCCAAAAATTATTTTCATAAAAGTATTTATGTTATTTATCAGTGGACATTAGTCCTAACATAATTTTACTCATTTAGTTGAGTATAATACAATAAAAAAATCAATTAATATTTGGCCAATTTTTATAAAATGTAAAATATTTCTGAACCAAAAATCAATAGCATAAAATTTAAAAATCCCAAATAAAAATATATTAATTTATATTGATAACCAATAAATTACTTATTTAAACTATAATATTATTTTATACTCATTCAAGTAACAATAATTAAATTATGATTATTAATCTTTGTTTGGTGGTCACAGTTATGTCTGAGGGCTGAGTTAACATGCACAGAGTAAACTTCCCAAGGCTTTCCTTGGGAAAGAGAATAGAATCCATAGTAGCTGCTATGAGGTTGAGGGCAGAACAAAAATGCTAGAGTAGGGAGCTATCTTAGGAACACTTAAATTTTGGTCCTGCCTGATTGGAGAGATCTCATTATCACCTCCTGAATACCTCTAGAGACCAATTAAAACAAGAGCAAATCTTCTCTATAGAAGCAAGGATTTCCCAGAGTATAAACTGCATTAGATCCACCCCAACAGAGCTTAAAACAAGGCTTTAAAAAGATATCTATGGGGAACAGAATTTGAAAAATTAGTCCTGAATAGCTTGGAGAATATAATGAGCTCTGTAAATTGACACTAAAAAACCATAAAATTAAGTTATTTGTTAGTTTTTTTTTCTGAGCCAAGGACATGAATGAACGTTTTTCAAAAGAAGACATACAGGCAGCCAATAAACATATGAAAAGATGCTCAACATCATTAATTATCAGAGAAAAGCAAATTAAAACTTCAATGAAATATCATCTTACACCAGTCACAATGGCTATTACTTAAAAAATCTAAAAACAACAGATGTTTGTAAGGATATGGAGAAAAGAAACTCCATATGTACTGATGGTAGCGATGTAAATTAGTATAACCTCTATGGAAAATAATATGGAGATTTCCCCAAAAACCAAAAATAAACTATAATTCAATCCAGCATTGGCACCACCGAGTATCTACCCAAAGAAAAAGAAATCATATTGAAAAGATACCTGCACTTGTATGTTTATTGAAACACTATTTACAATAACAAAGCTATAGAATCAGCCCATCTATCAGTGAGGATAGGATTAAAAAAATGTGGTACATATATGCCATGGAATATTATGCAACCATAAAGTGAATAAATCTAGATGGAACCATAAAACGATTTACAGCAATCTAGATGGAACAGAGGCCATTACCCCCAGTAAAATAAACTCAGAAACAGAAAATCAAATACTGCATGTTCTCACTTACAAGTGGGAGCTGTACCACAGGTACACATAGACATAAATAGTAGAATAACAGATATTGACTACAAAAGGTGAGAGTGGACTGAGGATTAATAAATTACCATTTGGGTACCATGTTCACTACTCTGGTGATGAGTACACTAAAAGCCCTGATCTTATCATGATCAAATACATGCATATACATTTACCCTGTAAATATATATAAATTTAAAAAAGCTTTTATCACATAAGACCTGACACATGATTAATATCTATTCAAAAAAATTAAAAATGATGCTTACAGAAATTCAAATGAATAATCAGTAGATAAACATCCACTTTAATAAGAATCAAGACACTCAAAGAAAGGGAATAGAATCCAGAGTTCTACAATATACAGTGTTCAAAAAAAATAAATATATATATCAAGAAAAGAAAATTGAATACAGAGTCAACTAAATATAAGTAGTCAATGGAACACAAACATGAAATGTAGTAGACTGTATATAGGTTCACATTCTACATTCTATATACAGTCTACTACAAAATAAAATGTAGTAGACTGTATATAGGTTCACATTCTCACTTTCTTTCTTCCTCATTTTAAAGTTCACAGTCAATGATTATAATTAGGCCTTGCACATTCCCTTAATTCCTTGCCCCTCCTAGCTTTGTCAAGAAAAGTGTAAGCCATGTTTTGATGCAAAGTGTCATTTACTCCAAACATGTTTCCATGGAACTGAATGTGGTGAGTGAAAAACAGAGTGATTAGAGCATCCATGAGCTGGTTTATGCTGTCTAGCAATCCCACTACATTTCTCTAATCAGTTATTGTCTTCCTCTTCCAGACAATTCTGACTTCTTCACTCCTCAGGCCATCAATACCTTTCTCATCCTCATTCCAATTCAATAATGTTGCTCCACTTTTTACTGAGAAAAGAGAAACAATTAGAAGAGAATATCCTTAATCTTCCATATGGCAGCTATTTACACTTGTATATGCTCCTGAACCCTTTTTACTCTGTTTCTTTTAGTAATTAAGAATATAAAGGTTCTTGCTCTTGGTTAGGTCAAATTTCTCCACTTAGGAACCAGATCCTATTCCTTCTCCTTTCTTATTTAGAGATGTTATTCCAGAATTCTCCCCTCTAACTCGCACATAATCAATTTTTCTCTACCCATTAAGTCATTTCCATCATATTCCATTTCTTTTTTACTTTCTTGAATCACTTTCATTATTCTACTTCCACTTCAGCAACTATTCTATTTCTGTGCTTCCCTTTAGAATAAAATCCTCAAATTTATGACATATGTTCACTTCAAATTCTCTCTTTCTGTTTTCTCATAATTCTACTTTAATCAGGTTTTCACTTACAACAAAACATAATCTTAATGTTGGGCTAAACAAATACTTTCAAATGATAAATCTAAAGTTGATTTATCATTCCTTATCTTATATAAACTATCACCAGCATTTGAAAAAGTTTATCATTTTAACGTTGAAGCACTTCGTTCACTTCATTGTTAAGACACTACATAATCTGGCTCTCTTCCTTCTTACTTTTCTCTCTATAATGATGGAGAGTTCCAGGGCTCAATTCCTAAACATCTTCTCGATCTGCACACTCTCCCATCTACTTGTTATCTCATCAAGACCTTGGCTTTAAACGTAGTTTATACCCTGACAAGCAGATTTATGTTGAACAACCTCCTTGAAAATTACATTTGGAAGTTTAGCAAGAATTTCTAATATATACCAAAGGCTAAATGCCTCTTCTTTCTCCTATAATATGCTTCATCTGCTATCTTCCCTAATTGACAGTTTCAACTCCACTTAATAGTAAGGCCACGGACTTTGGAGTCATCCTTGTTAAAGATTTTTCTTACATCCCCCATCCAATTCATCAGCAAATAAATGGCTTAACTTTAAAAAAAATATCCAGAATTCAACATTTTCTCATTATCCTTTCATATGGTTTGGTTGTTTCCTCACTCAAATCTCATCTTGAATTCCCACATGCTGTGGGAGGAGGTAATTGAATCCTGGGGGCAAGTATTTCCCATGCTGTTCTTGTGAGAGTGAATAAGTCTCACAAGATCTGATAGTTTATAAAGAGGAATTCCCCTTCACAAGTCTCTGCCTGCTGCCATCCATGTAAGACATGACTTGTTCCTCCTTGCCTTCCACAATGATTGTGAGGCTCCCCCAGCCACGTGGAACTGTAAGACCAATTAAGCCTCCTTCTTTTGTAAGTTGTCCTGTTTCTGCTATGTCTTTATCAGCAGCATAAAAATGGACTAATACACCCTACTGCTACAACTCAGATGTAGGCCTCCTTAATGCTTCACTTGATTATTGCAATACTTCTTGAGTAGTAATCCTGTTTCTGACCATGACCCTTCATCCATCTACTATCAACAGAACAGCAGCCAAGATGAGGCACACAATGTACATCAGATCTTCAACCTCTGCTTAAAACCCTCCACTCTTCCCACCTAAAAGCTCACTATCCTTATAATAAACTTTACAGCACCAGAGTTACTTCTGTGATCTAATAATCTACTATCTTCCCTCATGTTCTGTCAGTTCCAGCAATTCTGCCTTACTTGCTGGTCTCTGCATACTCCAGGTGCACTTTAATAATAAACTGCTGCCCTGGTTGTTTCCTCCAATAAATGCATGATTGTCTCATTCAATTTCCTCCGGTCTTTGTGTAACACTACCTCCTTAGTACGTGATTTTATAAATGCTCTGTTTAAAATTATGATGCCTTTACCCTAGCACTTCATGTCCTTGGCTTTATTTCTCTACATAGCTATTAACATACTATATTACTTAGTTACTTTTTTGTCTGTCTTTACAGGAACAGTAAGTTTTGTAAGTAGATTTTGTTGTTGTTCTTTGCTGTACATCCACATATAGATCAGTTCCTGGTATAGTGTAGGTGTCCAATATTTATCTT